ACAGTTGCAAAGTTCCAGTTGAAATATATCTTTTAGAAGTCTTGTTACAATTTAGCTCTAGTCTTATAAGTTCCAAGCAGCCTCCTCCAGCAGATTCTTAATATTAATTCTTTTCCTCTCCCTTCCCACTTATAGCAAAAAAAAAAAGTTTTTTTTTTTTCCCCCCCCCCCCCCCCCAATGTTTAGAAATCTTTATTGTCCCCTTGGCTTTACCTGTTGATGCCAAAGCAGGTTTTTCTGATTTCCATCTGCTATCACCGTAAGGAAGGAGAGTGAGAAAAAAAACCTTTCCCTTTTACTTTCGTTCGCCGCTTTTCTTTGGGAGCGATGTATCTTTAGTAAAATTTAAATTCCAGGGCATTTAGATGTTCCTTATTGTCCCGGGTCAGCCAGTAACTTTCACTTCAAACTTCCTCCTGCACAATTCTTATCCAGCTGAAGGCTTCTTTGTGGCGGCCATTGCTGACCGCCGCTCCATCGCCTTTGGAGAAGGGAGTTAAGCCGGCTGAGGAGGGAAGTTGCGATTCCCCCGGATCCCTGCCTGGTTCTCCCCTATCTTCAGCTACCCCTATGGGGTAACTATAGCCTCCAAATCCGACTGGATCGGGGGCACTCCAGCAGCGAGCGCGGCAGAAACCGCGCACGATCGTGGATTCCTGCCGCCGCCGAAGCCTTGCAAACCGGAAGAGTATTGTATTCCATATCATTTATCTGAAATCCAGTTTCTATCTTGAATTAGACAATATTAGATATATCCAAGCTGGGTTGCATATAACGAGCACAATATGTAAGTAACATTTCCTTTGCTTACAATGCAAACTTGTATTTGCGTAACATATAAATCAATGCTGTATCCTTAGATACTGGATACGTTGTTACCAACTTTAACAATATGAGCCGGTTAAATTTTTGAATTCACGCATATACATCCACAGACCAATAACCATTTTCGGGGAGGGGAGGGTGTTGAGGCAAATGTGATAATTAGAAACTATGCTACAACACACACTTTGCCTTGTATTTTGAGCAGTGTGTTACAAGTATGAACTGATGGGCATCCTTTGTCATGGACACCATTGAGAAATACATTTAAATTTATCTGCCTTGAAGAGTATGCTTTTAGAAGGACACAGATATAAATGTCTTGTTTGGATTAAAGCACTGAATATTTATTTCAATTATGGTACAACAGTTGATCCACTGGAATAAAGTGTGCATATAGTTAATCTAGACTGAAATTAAATAACACACTAAATAATTCTTACGAAAGTAGCCAAAATAAGCATTATAAAGCACTTTATAACTTAAAGCAACCATATCATTCTCTTCAAAACAATAAGAAGTGATTTACCATTTCATTTTTTCAAGATCCAGATTCTTGGCATTCACATTCTCAAAAACTATCTTTTTGATATTTATCTTGTAAATCCTTGATACATGATAATTTTGAAATATTTGGCTTTTTATCTTGTCTCATACCTGAGCATTGATGAAGTTCTCCTTAAACTGTATGTTACTGTTGCATACAGTTAAACTGTATGTATTCAGGGGTGGGCTGCTGGGGGTTCACAGGGGTTCAGGAGAAGTCCTAGTTAAAATTCTGTGCAGTTTGGAGAACCCCCAAATCCCACTCCTGGCTGGCCCCACCCTCCCAGGAGTCCCCACGCAGCCCGTTTTTAATGCAGATAAGTGCAGGGCCCACACGGAGGCTTGGCGAGGGTGAAAAATGGACCACCCGGAAGTTTGGGAAGGCTGGAAATGGGCCCGTTTCTGGCTTCCACAGAGCCTCTGGAACCTGGGGAGGAGGAAAACCAGCCTTCCAGAGGCTTGAGGAAAGCCTCCAGAGCAGGGAGAGGGCAAAAATGCCCCCAGTCATTGGTGCAGGAGGCTGACTAGGTCACGCCCACCCAGCAACTGAGCAGAGAACCCGTTGCTAAAAATTTTGAAGCCCACCCTATATGTATTTATTTATGTATGTTTGTACACAGAAAACATAAATAAATTACTTTAAAAAAGACATCTTATATGGATTACTCTTATTATTTTAAATATAAATATATGCTGATTTTACTTCACAGATTCTAAGTTTCACTAATATTTATTAAGATGAACTATAATTGAATTTTATTCAAAATGATGTAAGAGTTTGATAACCACCATCAGATTTAAGAGTCAACTAACAACATTTTTATTCAACATAAGATCAGAAAATTAAATGTGTCTATTCTCCCTTAAACTCATTATTCCTTATTATGCATTGAAGATCATTCTCTGAAATGTATGCTATTGCTTCAGTAAAAAAAGATTACTTAAATTTCATTGTTCATGAGCAATTCAACCATAACATAAGTGTATCTAAAGTGTCAGATACAAATGTATGTGACAATGGGTGTGTAATTGATGGGTCTGTGAGTAGCATAGGTAATTCTGGTATAATAAGGTTTATTCTACAACACAGCTTGCTAAGATCCAGTGCTTTGGAATTTATTTTATTTCTAAAACTCCCAACAAGCATGACTGGGATTCCTGGGAATAATCTGGAGGACTTCCTATTAGGAAAGGCATTCCTAATAAGTTTAGGAATGTAATAAGTTTAGGATTTCAGATACTTTGATATCTTACATTTAAAATTACTGCCAGAATTAAAATATCTTGTAGAAATATTTTTAAAAAATCTTTGAAAACTAACACTTCTTTCTATCTACAGTTCTTTCTATCTGCAGTCTAATACTGTGTCTTTTTTCCCAATTGAAGAAGGTATCTAATCTGTGTTCAACTCAAAAATTATTTGCTTGCTGAAAAAAATGGTAGGCTTTGTAAATTAATTAATATTAGCAAGCACTGCAACAGGACAGAAAAGTAAAAGGATTGCAGTTTCATGAAGATTCTTGCTGCAGACTTATCTACAAAATCTAAAAACCCTCTCTCTCTGTGTGTGTGTGTGTGTGTGTGTGTGTGTGCGCGCGCATGCATGCACGTGTGTATTTCCATTCAGTCTCCAGGTAGTGATATATAGGTTTCTCACCAGTATTGAATGGAGAAATGTCTAGCCATCTGAAGTCCTGAACTGGCCCTTCAGAACAGTTTGATTGCCTTCTTGATTGTTTGCGAAATAACTCTAAGATTGGCAGTGACAGGGTAATTTACTGAAGATTGCAATGTCAGACTATATCCAAGGGGGCTTGCTGGCATGAAGATGTTATTCTCATGACTGACAGGCTACTGGGAGTTTGGTATGCCAATTTAAAGTTCATGGTGTTGTCCAAAGTGTACAGATGCTTCAGCCCATAATCATGCAGTTTGATGAGGTCATTATAGGCATAACATACTCTCACCCCTATAACAGCCAAAGCAAAGAAGTATTCACAGCTGGAGTAGATAAACACAAATTTGTAGAAAAGAGTAATTTGCTGCATCTTACCTTTGCATCCCTTAATATATTGACAGGCTTTTCTTTTTCTCCCACCTGCACGTACAAAAAAGATACAAGAAACAATTTTCCATGAATAATTACAAGCACCAGAAATAACAAGGTGTTGTGAAAGAAGTGTTCAAGTTTTAATAGGAAAACCATCTTCAGTTATTATAGGAGTCCAATTACTTTCTCACATTGATTATATAAAATGGGTGGAATCTGAGAAAATATTCTACCTCCATGATGAAAAAGGACTTTCAGATTAGTGAGGATCACAAATCACTGACCTTGAAATTATAAAAGAAATCTTAAGTTCAAATAGCAAAATAACTTAGAAGTATATGACATGAAAACTATGAATGCTATCAATGCGGTTTTCTTTTTTAAAAGTCTCAAAATGATGATGGGTGAGTCTTTGCTTATGGGAACATGGCATAAATATTCAAAATATCTAATCAGATTTGTAGCTGATCAGACCCAAACATCCATCATCTATTTTTTTAGGAAAATATCACTCCATCACAAAGACATGGTAGATAATAATTCATTAAATTTTCTGGATTAAGTATATTAAAATCTTTCAGATATGCTCCAGGAGAAACAGGTTTGAACCACCTTGTTCTCATTGGAGTTTTTAGTCACAGAGATCTATCAGGAAAAGCCAGCTAATCTTTCCCTGGCTGCCACAGATAACAAATCTGAAAAAAAAAAAAAAAAAGATTATTAAAAGTTATATATAAACAGAGAGATGATATTTAAAACCAGATTTTATATGAGGCAAACTTGCACTGAAGTAATTTGCATTGAAAAAATACGTTATTAAAGAATCAAAATAGGATCGTTTTTATTTTAAAAAATGGTTAATGGGCAATCTGTATAAACATATTTATTTTAGAGGAATTTATATGAAAAAGCTGCACCTTGTAGGACACTTTCACACACACACGCACGCACGCATACACACACATTATGTTCATTATGATGTGGTGGTACAGTGGTTAGAATACAGTATTGCAGGCTAATTCTGTCGACTGCCAGCAGTTTGATCCTGACTGGCTCAAGGTGGACTCAGCCTTCCATCCTTCCGAGGTCGGTAAAAAGTGGAACCAGATTGTTGGGGGAAATATGCTGATTCTGTAAAGAGTGGGCTGTAAAATACTATGAAGCAGTATAAACAGTAAGTTTATTCTATTGCTATTATAATATTATATTCTACTGCTCTACTAATATGGGTAGTGAAATGGGCAGGATTTTAGTTTCATCTGCACATCCCAAATCTTGAGACTCAAAAAAAGCTAATTTGGGGCTTTAGCAAAGCTGAAAAAAGTCCATTCCAAAATTGAGAACCATTCTGCATATACCTTTATTACTTATTTTGGCATTTGATGTACTGATCCTAAAAGCAGTAACAGAGGCAATTTTGTACACTAAAGTTACCACGTTGATGAAAATGCTTGGGAATATCTAAAGTTAAATGTGCTGAGATTAGCAATGCTATTGTTCATCTTGTAAGAAAGCAATGGTGATATAAGCTGTGATACAATCAAATGACTGGGGAAAATAGCTTATGTGTTCTTCTTTGCAGATGGCCTCATTGATTGTCTGGATCCAGATTGCTGCCTCCAGTCGACTTGTCAGAATAGCCTTCTCTGTCGTGGCTCACGTGATCCCCTAGACATTATACAGCAAAGTCACTCTGGTTCAGAGGCTATAAAGTCATTCTATGATCGAATTAAGCTCTTAGTGGGAAAAGACAGCACTCATATAATCCCAGGAGAAAACCCCTTCAATAGCAGGTAATAACCAAATATACAAGTTTGTAAAGGCATGGGAATTCTTTTGGCAGAGGTTTTAATAGTGGTTTAACATGGAATGCAGCTTTCACTAGCGAGATTTTTTTTTCCATCTCATGCTAAAATCTCATTCTGGACTTTTTGTCATGATTTTTTTTAATGCTGCCTTTATGTCAGGATGCTGGCTTTGCATACTGACTCCAAATGGGTAAGGACTAGCACTGGATTTACTGCATGCAAGGAGCTTGGAGAGAAAAGGAATCCCAGCTTTATCATGAGAAAAATTTATTTATTTATTTATTTTATTTATTTATTTGATTTGCCAATTGTTTACAAGATAATAAGTATAAGTGTATACATAGTTGTGAATACATGAAATGGGTACATATAAGAAAAATAAAAGAATAAGAGAAAGAATAGGACAGGGACGGTAGGCACGATGGTGCGCTTATGCACGCCCCCTACAGACATAAATACAAATATGATGACATAAATGAGAGCTCAATATGCTCTGACTTTCAGAAAGAATAAGCCTTTGTTTCATGTCTCATGATTATTCTAAATATGAAAACATAGTGTTTCGGAGGATTATTATTATTATTTTTTGGTATTTTCAGATTTTACCCTGTTCATCCTTTAGTTACATTAAAACTGTTTTATAAGCTATAAATACTACCTGCATTTTTAAATAATTAACATTTCCTGCATTTAATCAGTCAAAATATCCTGAAAGTATAACATCTTCAAAGAAAAACCAGAAAATCCAGATCGCCTCTTGGAAAAGCACCTTTGGGACTTAGGATGGTATAGGTTTCAAGCCAGATGCATATATATATCAATTCTACATGGAAAATAATTTTTTTAAAAAAATATTTTGTTTTCATTGCAAAAGAAAGACATCTCGTCACTTTCTAATTTACAGTGAGTGTCTATATTTCAGTCTTCTAAGATTTATTCTATTTTATTTACCCCAAAGGTCTGCCTTACTATTCTTCCTAAGCCCTAACTCCTATGTGTTCTATCTATTCTACCTTCAGGTTTAGCATAACTCTATCTACTCTATTCTTAGTCCTACACACATCATCTACTCCTTTGCCGTCGTTATTGCTGGAATGGTCTCTGTTGCCAGCTAGACTTGACCATCATGGTCCTGAAATCTCTCTGATATTGCATCACCACAGGTGTCACATTCTGTAGTGCTGATTCTTGCTTCACCTGGATCTATGCTGACATTTTTGGATTGGCTTTTGGATTGTTCTGCTGTTGTCACTTTGAGCCACTTGATGCAACTGATTTACTCTGCTTTGATCCTTTCTTTGCACAGACTGTATTGACTGATAATTTAGTATATTATAGTATACTATAATATATAATAACCAATCCCACTTTCCTTAAATTGCCTCATACTGCTGGTACCCAACTTCTTCAGGTCTTATAAGGTACATGTCTTCTTGGCCCTGATGCTTCTCTTTCCCTCACTTGTCTTTCTCTCACAGTTTCACCCACTGCTGAGCTCTTTTTCTTCAACTAGGATTCTGGATGTAAAACTAGCTGTTGGTTTTATGACTGTCTATAGGCTTTGGCAAACTGCAGTTGCAGCTACCATCACCCCAACCTTTCAGATCCCTCTCTCTAGACTCTTCTGCTAAGCCTCATTGATTTTTCTTACCCTGGCTACTTGGCACTTCACATGTAAGGAGACTAGCCATTTTCCTCTTCCTTCCTTTTTCTTTTGGCTTGATATCCCTTTGGATCTTCCTAATAGCTGCCAAAAACCCCTTCACTGCTACAGAGGACTTATTCAGTAATCCTGCTCAGCATATACTTACAAACACAAATTTACATGCTGCCAGTAGCAAGTTTAGGTCTCCCACAACAACTCTAGACTGATCTTCCTTCCTTCTTTATTTCCTTCTTTACTTCCTTCTTTCCTCCTTCCATCCTTCCTTCTCCAAATTTCCAAGTTTCCAACTTTTTCACTTCTTTTATGTTATTTCTTTAATTTTCCTTCTTTCGTTTTCTGACATTTTGAAATCCATCCTCACTCTTCAAGTTAACAAGCTCCATATTTTAAAGAAACTACATTTCTTTTTTGACATAAAATTGTTCTCTTTTCTTTTGGATAGAAATTAACATAAACCTTCCCCTATTTCAGGGGAATGGAAGTGAGAAGAAATGGTTCAGCATTTTTTTCAGTCATAGTTATGTTCTCATTCTAGTTCTCTTTGCTCCTATTTTGTATCCCCCCACCTTTTTTTCTTTTCTTTTCTGGAGCAACCAGTTCAGAAGGCTGTTATTTGCCAAACTCAGGTATTTTTAGGTCTAACAAGGAAACCAGAAATCATTCAGGAGCTACCCTATGTTTCTAATGAGATTTATTGGAATGATAAGTGTGCAAACTTGTTTCACCAGCTGTACCATTTTATGAGAGGGAACATAAGGGAAAACAAAAAGTAAATTCCATTTTATTGTAACTATTCAGCTTGAGGTCAACTTATCTACCCAAGATGCCTTAGGGGACATCACAGTACTCTACCAAAGACAAAAGAGTTCCCATAATACAATTTAGCAAGATATGGAGAACATAATTTCCTATTTGAAAATTATGATTATATTATTACTACGATTACAGTGATTATCTATTATAGATTTGATACAAAGAGTGGCTTTTGCCATCCAGGTACGACCAGAGCATGAAGGACTCCTCAGTTCAGAGAGAATACTGAGCTACGTATATTCTCTTTTGTTGACATACAATAATAGCTATCAGATTATGATGAAACAATATTTGATTTATCAAAAATGAAAATGCAAACTATCCCATATTTGTTAACACAAGTTCCATCAGATTCAGCTATGCATATTCCAAAGTAGATTTATTTAGAGTTGCAGCCTATTCGTGCAATCTTTTGAATCAATATTAAACATAAGCACTGCTGTGTCCAAAGGAGCTTGGTTCCTAATATAAACATGCTCTAGAATGCCGTGTGCGTGTGCGTGTGTGCACACGCACATTATGTTAACTATATATGAAAATATTTATTTTTCAAATTTGAATTGTATAAGAGCAATATTGCCTGCATTAGAAGGTAATAAGAGGATAATAATCTCCAGTTTTAATATATTTGCTAACATATGATATATTATATTGTTCATACTCTTTTAAATGCCTATTATTTTGAACCATGTTGTTGCCCCCAGTAAAAACTGATTATATGATATTTCAATAGATGATTTTAGATTATTTACCAACTGAATAAATTGTATTCTTTCTTTTTGTTCAACATCAAGTATATGTTCATTAGTAACTACTATATTATTCTAATATAAAATAATATAGAGCCAGTAATTCTAAAAGTTCACTTTTGATGGAATAATTTTCTTCACCAGAAACTCTGAATAGGGCGATATTTTGACCATCCATCTACCCTAAGAAAATTAAATTTAAAGACTTAAATAATCTGTCCAGAAAAATTTATATAGTTCAGGAGTTCCACACACAAATCTCCCTTTGAGTAAGGGATGGGTTGTTGTTGTTTTGGGGGTTACTTACTTCCTCTTGCATTTCTTTGCACAGATTCCAGAAGGTTTTTTTTTTTTTTTTGAATGATCAGAAGTATCTGATCTACCAGAAGGGTCTGATCCAATAATAGACAGTTTTTATAGCCCTATGGAAAGAGTTGAAAACCTAAAGGCAAACAGTTTAAAAAAAGAACCACTAATTAAATATGACAAAATTTTATGGACTGTGAACTGCCTTATTCTCTGAAAGGTAATTGATGTTTATGGAGTGAATGTTCCTGGAAGAATATGTAGATAATATTAGCAAAGACATTAATCCAGATAACCAAATCATTAATTCAGTGTGCTCTAAACTAAATTTCTTTAGATTTATTTTATTTTCTACACAGGAACCTGAACAATACATGTCACTTTGTACAGTTAGGATAACTTTGGAAGAGAAAGCTTTTAGCTTTTAACCTAGCTTCATGAAATGAAGGAGGATGAGTAAAGGAAAGAGAAATCCACAGCTGGATTTCAGAGAGCATCCATCTTCATATCAGTCAAAAATGTAGCCACTGATTAGAAATAATTGATTCCTTCTGAGTTATTCTCCATGGGGATCTGAATGTAGCATTAATAAATAAACTAGGGGAGATATGATAGCAGTGTTCCAATATTTGAGGGTCTCCTACAAAGACAAGAGAGGATCAGACTGTTTTCCAAAGCACCAAAAGGCAAGATAAGAAACAGTGGATGGAAACAAGGAGAGAAACAACCTAGAACTAAAGAGAAATTTACTAACAGTAAAACAGCTTCTCTTCAGAAGAAGTGGCCTATCACTGGAGGCTTTCAAAACAAGACTTGACAACCATTTGTCTGAAATGGTACGGGGTTTCCTGCTTAGACTAAAGACCTCCAAGGGCCTTTCCAATTCTATAATTCACCTTCTACATTCTAAATGTTAGTCTATAAAGACCCTTTCATGTTTAGTGTTTGAAAAAAAGAGGCAATCCTCTTTACAGTCGGTATTTATATCTGAGAAATGGAGGGATTGATGGTCAGATAAACGTATATATAGCTCTAAAGCCCATCTATATTTGAGAAACAATCAATTCCTGTTTCATTTAGCATCTATAGCTTTTAACAAGCAAAAAAAATTTCAGTCAAGAAGGAATATTTCTTCATGCCGGAAAAAACTCACCTAGCCATGATAATTTTCTTCCCCAAAGTATTACTTGAGCACTGGTATTGAATTATATTTCTTTTCCAGCCTGGTATCTCTGATAAGGGGCCAAGTGGTGACTACAGATGGAACTCCACTTGTTGGAGTCAATGTGTCATTTGTCAAGTATCCAAAATATGGCTACACCATCACTCGCCAAGATGGCACGTAAGTTGACTCACTTCATTCACGAATTACTTTGTATAGTAATAACCATGCAGATTGACAGATGGTGCTATCTAGTGAAACCATGTGGTATCATGCATAGAATTCCTACTAGGGTAAAGGGTTATCAAGAAAGCAGAAAGTAATTTTCACACGGTGTTTTGAAGACTAGCTGAAAGTAAATTTGAAAAGATTGACTTCTGAAAATAATGTGATAGCAGTTGGACTTCTTCACACAGAAGCTGTATTATATCTATAAAAACATTTGTGGGCTATAGTAGTATCCAGCTGAGACCCAGAAACATTTAATTTTGAGATCCAAGGCAGGCTAACACTCATGGGGGGGAGGAGATTCATAAAACAGTGCTATTTCTTAGTTTCCCAATTGTCCCGTTCCTTTCTAAAATCAGAGTTTCTTGAGGCAAAACATATTAAAAGGGTATAATTGAATAAACTTAGATAATTCCCTGCTGTGTCTTGCTCCTCTGTTCATCATTTGATTTGAAAGGCACATAGACTTAGCTCTAATAAAAATAGGATGTGTCATACTTTATCTAATTTATTGGATGTAGCAATAAAGTGATATATCTACATGAAATAATGCATTGCATCTATTTGCTGCAGTACATGTGAACTGTAATCTATAAAAGTCATTGGAGTACTGATCCGTAACAGGGCTATTGTTGGATGCTGGGGTCACTGTTTTATTGCTGAGATTTCAAACATCTTAATAATAATGGGGATTAAGGGCTTTTATGTGATTCATTATAAATTTACTAACATTGTTTGCTCAAAGCTGTCATTCAGTTTTGCCACATGGCATGAAGGCATTTGTGATGGCTTTAATGGCTGCTTATAGCAGTTCTATGTTGGAAACCACACATCATCCAGTGCTTTATGATATATCATGGCCACATTTGCATTAACAACAAATATTGGTTCACAGCAGAGGTCTTAATCGCAAACTTCCCTGAATCAAGAAAATGAGTGTGTTAACCTTTTTTATGTATGCTTGGAGGAAAAAAATATTGTATTACAGATGATACCAGCTCTAAATCTCCTGCGATCACAAAGACTAGAATTAAAGAGAAGGCCCTTAGCCACATCATTTAACAAATTAATTTAATATAGTTCAAGAAAGTACCCAAGAGAAACAAAAACCTTGTTGCACTTTTGGAAACTAATGAGCTGTATTCATTTTTTCCTACTTCTACCTATAGAGCAAGAAATGACTTGTGGTACTGCTGTTTGTTTGTTTGCTTGCTTGTTTGTTTTAGGAACAGGAAAGAATTTATTTATTTATTTATTTTGTCAAACAATTATTAGATAACAGGTATAAGTATAAACATGGTTATAAATACATGAAATTGATACGAATAAGAAAAAAAGAAACAATAGGACAGGGACGGTAGGCACGATTTGGTGCGCTTATGCATGCCCCCTACAGACCTCTTAGGAAAGGGGTGAGGTCAATAGTAGACAATCTAATGTTGGAGATTTGGGGGTTTGGGGAAGAAACCACAGAGTCAGGTAGAGTATTCCAGACATTGGCTACTCTGTTGCTGAAGTCGTAGTTCCTGCAATCAAGTTTGGTGCAGTTTATCTTTAGTTTGTATCTATTTTGTGCTCTTGTATTGTTTTGGCTGAAGCTGAAGTATTCATTGATAGGTAGGACATTGCAATATATAATTTTATATACTATACTTAGATCGAACCGAAGGTAGCATAGATCTAGATTGTCTAGGTCTAAAATTTCAAGTCTGGTTGCATAAGGTATTCTGCTACGAGTAGAGGAGTGGAGGATTCTTCTCGTAAAATATTTCTGGACTTTCTCAATTGTATTAATATCAGATATGTAATGCGAGTTCCAGACTGATGAGCTGTATTCAAGTACTGGTCTAGCAAATGTTTTATATACTCTAGTTAGTAGAGTGATATTACCGGAGAAAAAGCTACGCAGGATTAGGTTAACAACTCTTAATGCCTTTTTGGCTATGTAGTTACAGTGGGCTCTAGCACTTAGATCATTTGAGATGAGTACTCCAAGGTCCTTGACAAAGTTTTTGTCATCAACAAGATCTTGACTATTCCGCTTGTATTTTATTTTTTGAATTTTTTTTGCCAATAAGTAAGATAGAGCATTTATTTGTTGAGATTTGAAGTTGCCATTTGTTTGACCATTCTGACACATAGTCAAGGCCTTTTTGAAGGGTAGCAGCATTGTCAGTGGTGTTGAATAGCTTTACATCATCAGCGAAAAGAATGCAGTTGCTCTTGATATGATCACAGAGGTCACTAATATAGAGTATGAAAAGAGTTGGTCCTAGAACACTGCCTTGGGGGACACCACTGTTGACAGGTACAGGATTTGATAGGACGCTCCCAATTTTGACCATTTGTTGCTTGTTTGACAGGAATGCTTCTATCCAGTTATGCAAGTATCCAGAGATACTATAAGACCTTAGTTTTAGGAGTAGTTTGTCGTGTACCACTGAATCAAAGGCTTTACAGAAGTCTATGTAAATTGCGTCAATTACTTTGCCCTGATCGAGTTGTGTAGTCCATATGTTTTTACAGTGCAAGAGTTGCAGTTTACAGGACAGTTTCCTTCTGAAACCAAACTGTTTGTTAGAGAGTAGTTTGTTTGTCTCTAAGTGGAGGATAATGGATTGGTTAATAATTGATTCCATGACTTTACAGGTGACGCAGCATAAAGAGATTGGTCTGTAATTTTCAACTAGGCTGGGGTCTCCCTTTTTGAAGATGGGAATGACTGTGGCTAGTGACCATAGATTTGGCAAGGAACTGGTCCTGAAAGATTTTTCAAAGATTATGCTTAGAGGTTCGGCTATGGCAGTGGATAGCTTTTTTAAGAAGTAGGCACAAACTCCGTCCAGTCCAATAGATAGAGATGGTTTTAGATTGTGTAGTGCTTTTTCAACATTGTCTTCTGTAAAATCAATATGTATTAGATCATTGTAGTTGTCTGTGGTTCGACTAGGAAATATTGGGCATGATCCATTGCTGTTTACAAATACTGAGCCAAAGAATGTGTTAAAGAGGTTGGCTTTAATAGTGTCATCGTTGCAGTCTTTACCATTTGGTTCTTCTAGGGGTGGGATGAACCTTGAGTCTTTTAGTTTGTTGTTTACAAAATTGTAGAAAGCGCGGGTGGAATTGGTGTGTAGAAGGTTTTCCTCTTGTTTAGTGTGATAATTGGTACATTCAGTCTTTATCTGGTGGCATAAATTTTTGTATCGGCTTTTAAAGTTGGCAACGTGACCAGATTTGTTTTTCCGCCAAAGGGATTTCTTTTTGGATTGGAGCTTCCTTATTGTTATGGGTAATTTGTTTTTTCTGGTTTTGGGAATTGTTTTTGGTACATATAGTTTGATGACTCTTTTGACTTCAAGTAAAAATATGTTGTAATGGTCTTCAACAGTATTGCATCCAGTGAATAGAATTTGCCAATCAAGAGATGAGAGATCATTGTCTATAAGATCATAGTTGCCTTTTTTGAAGTTATAATTGGGGATCCTGTCATTATGGTGATTTTTGTGAGGACATATGTTGAGACAAAAGTCAATCATGCTGTGGTCACTGTTGGAAAAGGGTTCATTAATTTGTATTCCATAAATTGAATCCAAACTGTTGCAGAAGATGAGATCGAGGCAGTTGTTAGTCTAGTATTGTTGGTTAGTTGTTCCAGTCCTAGTGTGGTAACGGCATTGTACAAGGTTGTATGAATGGATTCAGATGTACATTCATTTAGTGTCCAATTTATAAGAGGTAAGTTGAGGTCACCAAGAAAAATGAGAGGGTGTGGGCAGGAGGCAGCCCATGTCAGTAGTGAAGTTAGCTTGTTTGCATGAATTATATCATAGTCAGGGGCATGATAGCAAAGTAAGAAGCGGATTGAGATGTTTAAGGACAGTTCACAAATGATGGTCTCAGGAAGAGCAAGATCTTGTATAATTTGGATCTTTTTTAGATTTAGATACTTTTTATAGAATATAGCAACTCCACCACCTCTACGGATTTCGCGATCTGACTGAAAAACTTGATATTCTTGTGTAGAGGTAATGGAGTCTGGGAAAGATGCATTTAATCATGTCTCACAAATACACTGCTCAAAAAAATAAAGGGAACACAAAAATAAGACATCCTAGATCTGAATGAATGAAATATTCTTATTAAATACTTTGTTTATTACATAGTTGAATGTGCTGACAACAAAATCACACAAAAATTATCAATGGAAATCAAATTTAGTAACCCATGGAGGTCTGCATTTGGAGTTACACTCAAAATTAAAGTGGAAAAAAACACTACAGGCTGATCCAACTTTGCTGTAATGTCTTTAAAACAAGTCCAAATGAGGCTCAGTAGTGTGTGTGGCCTCCACGTGCCTGTATGACCTCCCTACAATGCCTGGGCATGCTCCTGATGAGGTGGTGGATGGTCTCCTGAGGGATCTCCTCCCACACCTGGACTAAAGCATCCCCCAACTCTTGGACAGTCTGTGGTACAACGTGGCGTTGATGGATGGAGTGAGACATGATGTCCCAGATGTACTCAATTGGATTCAGGTCTGGGGAATGGACGGGCCAGTCCATAGCATCAATGCTTTCGTCTTGCAGGAACTGCTGACACACTCCAGCCACATGAGGTCTAGCATTGTCTTGCATTAGGAGCAACCCAGGGCCAACCGCACTAGCATATGGTCTCACAAGGGGTCTGAGGATCTCATCTCGGTACCTAATGGCAGTCAGGCTACCTCTGGCGAGCACATGGAGGGCTGTGCGGCCCCCTAAAGAAATGCCACCCCACACCATTACTGACCCACTGCCAAACCGGTCATGCTGGAGGATGCTGCAGGCAGCAGAACGTTCTCCACGGCATCTCCAAACCCTGTCATGTCTGTCACATGTGCTCAGTGTGAACCTGCTTTCATCTGTGAATAGCACAGGGTGCCAGTGGCGAATTTGCCAATCTTGGTGTTCTCTGGCAAATGCCAAGCATCCTGCACGGTGTTGGGCTGTAAGCACAACCCCCACCTGTGGACGTCGGGCCCTCATACCACCCTCTGTTTCTGACCGTTTGAGCAGCCACATGCACATTTGTGGCCCGCTGGAGGTCATTTTGCAGGGCTATGGCAGTGTTCCTGCTGTCCCTCTTTGCACAAAGGTGGACGTAGCGGTCCTGATGCTGGGTTGTTGCCCTCCTATGGCCTCCTCCACATCCCCTGATGTACTGGCCTGTCCCCTGGTAGTTGCTCCATGCTGTGGACACTACGCTGACAGACACAGCAAACCTTCTTGCCAAAGCTCGCATTGATGTGCCATTCTGGATGAGCTTCACTACCTGAACCACTTGTGCAGGTTGTAGACTCCGTCTCATTCTACCACTAGAGTGAAAGCACCACCAGCATTCAAAAGTGACCAAACCACCAGAAAGCATAGGAACTGAGAAGTGGTCTGTGGTCACCACCTGCAGAACCACTCCTTTATTGGGGATGTCTTCTTAACTGCCTATGCTTTCCACCTGTTGTCTATTCCATTTGCACGACAGCATGTGAAATTGATTGTCAATCAGTGTTGCTACCTAAGTGGACAGTTTGATTTCACAGAAATGTGATTGACTTGGAGATACATTGTGTTGTTTAAGTGTTCCCTTTATTTTTTTGAGCAGTGTATAATGTCAAATATAATGTCAAGAATAAGACATAATGTGGTTTCTTTCAATTTGGCTTTTCCTGCCTGTGAAGTCTTTTAGTATGTTTGTAGTTTTGAAGCACTTGTTTATATTATAATGTGGTGCAAAGTCAGTTGGTGGTGTTTTATTCATTAAACAGTGATTAAGCAAATCATAGCTGAGCATAATATGTTCACCTTTTAAGTTTAGATGAAGATAAGAAGGGTTGAGGTCAAAAATGTCAGATGAGAGGCATATTCAAAAGGGACAAGGCTTGCATTGTGGCAGCACTGTAGTCATTTTGGCCAGCCATTGCTACAAGGGCCCAGTTTTCTCACACATCTTCACTCCCATGATACATAAAACCACAATATTGATGGCTTTGTTAGAACTAAATACCTAGTATTTTCAATTTTTAGACAGAAACATTTTTCCAGTTCTGGAACTAATTCAACATTGTGTCCATTTTGAAAATTTAAGATTTTTCTTCTCATTGCCATAAACTTTGCATGTAAGGATAGTTCTATCTCTGCTGGGTTTCAAACGCAATAGTTTTAGCTAATTTTGGATCTGATATTGGTTTGTTAGCCCTGTACTTTGTAGCATTTGAAATCTATGTTTGCACTAATAATTTGAACCATTATAAAATCAGCTACTTTTCATAATTATGAACAGAATGTGGGAATTCATTTTTTAGGATACTAATCTATCCTGCTACATATGAGGCTACATACTTTAATTAGTTAGTAGTTGGTTGGTTAGTTAGTTAGTTACTTAGTTATATGTCCCTTTGACTCAATATTGATTCCTGGCAACTGCCTGGACTCTATAGGATTTTTTACAAGATTTCAAGAGTAGTTTGCCATTGCCTCCTTGATAAGACTGAGATAGAGTGATTGGTGCAAGACTACACCAATGCTTCATGTCCAACATAGAATTTGCCATTGCCTCTTTGATAAGACTGAGATAGAGTGGTTGACACAAGACTACACCGAGGCTTCATGTCCAAGATTGAATTAGAAGCCATGATTTCCTGGTTTATATGTTTGTCTTGCCCAGTGTCTTAAGAACTAAACCAAATTGGCTTTCTTCATAATTTGTATACACTATAAATATGCAATGGGATAAGCTGATTTAATGATGCTCATCTGTTTTTTGAGTACGGCAGCAGACACAGTTGATTAGATGAGTAAACAGGATCACAACGATCTGTCATACCTCTATCTATAGAATGATTAGGATCTGTTGCCTTTCATTTTTCCCAAAAAACCCTGAATGCATGAGCGGGATATATTTAGATGTTGTTCGCTTTCACTTTCTGATAGATAGCATGCTGTGATGCAATGGTTTTTATCTTGTTAGCTAACCTTTTGGTATTGTCCTATATCTTCTGTTTGCTCTCGTCCCCATTCTTTGGTATCTCATGCCAATAATGTTGAAAAATTGTTGAATTGTTTTCTGAATGCGATGATGAACTGGATGTAGATTTATAGATTTAGACTCTGAGATTTAGACATCAGTAACAAAATTACTGGGGTCATCACCTATTCTAGAAATTATTATTCTGTGTTTTTAGCTAAGGGTAGATGTTCTGGACCTTGTAAAACCTTTTCGTACCTTTAACTTATAAGATTCTTGTACCCCATTCTATGAAAAGCACAGCTGATTTCTTTAATCCATATTTTAATCGCTTCCAAGTACATATTGACTGTTTCCTAGTATGATTTGATTGCTTATTGTACCCTATGACTATTATTAAGTGTTGTACCTGATGATTCTTGACTCTTGACGAATGTATCCTTTATTTTATGTACATTGAAAGCATTTGCACCAAGACAAATTCTTGTGTGTCCAATCACATTTGGCCAATAAAGAATTCTATTCTATTCTATTCTATTCTATTCTATTCTATTCTATTCTAT